ACATACCAGGAAACCTACAGAGCTATTTCCAGGGTATGTGCCAACGTTTTTTTGGACTAGATGAATTGTGCTGCCTTTCAGTTCTGTTGTGTCATTGAAGCTTAACAAATGGTCAGTTGGAAGAAGGGCATGTATTATAACTACAATGGTAGCAAGACAAATATATGCATGAAACTAGATCCCTAACACTGTCTTCAGTCAGTGAGAGACCTTAAGATACCTTGCCTTACTTCTTGGGTTTACCCTGTTTTTGTTTGCATCTGAACTCTTACCTCTTTCATGAAGCAACTAATCCTTGCTTTTACCCCTTTACTAATTTATAAAATGAATATTTAACATTCAAAGTGTTCCTAAAAATACATAAGCTACATAAGCTTAACTTTTCCTGTTGTATATCCTAGAAAAGTTCCAGCAAGCTAACCTTGTTTGAAGTACATTGAAAAATACACTAGTTTAGCTCCTACAAGCAGGTAGAACCTTGTTTTCTTCAGGATGATGATGAAATTACTTACCTCAAGAGATGTAAGGTGCATAGCCCATGAGGCTGACACAGCTTCCCTTTCTAGATGTACCTTGGAGGGTGGAGCCCTTTGTCTTTGTGGTTTGGTTATTGACAGAGAACCTTTGTGCCATCTTTAGTGCTGTTTTCTCCTTAGGTGGAGTTCAGGTTCCCTCCGTTTGTGACAGAAGGTGCGAGGGATTTGATTTCCAAGCTGCTGAAGCATAACCCGTTCAGTCGGCTGCCCCTGAAGGATGTGCTTCTCCATCCCTGGATTACAGCAAACTCTGCAAAGATGCCCAACAGCAGAAAGAGTGATGCTGCTGCCCCATCCAGAACGTAGTCTTTGCATGGATAGCCTCGTGGGATCAAGAGGAGTTGTCTTGTACTGTGACTACTGTAATGCTTCCAATACAGAAAGCAGGTCTTGGAATCTAATGGCAATTGGATTGCAAATCTTTGGGTTGGCTCTTGTCTTAAACTCTAATTGCAATGTAAAATTATTTGACTTTTAGCTGGAGGTTGTGGAATACTTGAAATCCAGTTACATGTGGGCCAGGTTAGATGTAAGTATTAAGCTGTTCAAGGCTTTTTATGGTGTGGTCTGTCCCAGCAATGGTTCAATCTTCCAACAGGAAGAGGAAGTTGTTCTAGCTTATTGAACAGTGCAATATCCTGGAGATAGCTGCCTCCTAACTTATTGGGCTGCTAAGGTATCATAACTGTGGTGTAATCTGAAACTGAGGTGAATGCATTTCTAAGTGTCCTAAAAAATGATGTGTGCATTATTTTTGTCTCTTGTTTAATGTGAGCACTCAACTTTTCAAATAAAGACTTGTTATATACTGCCACTGGCATGGTAAGGTTCCTCATGGTACTGTCACTTCCACTGGCTGTCTAACCACTTGTCTTTACTGTCAGTACAGCTTGGCTCCTCATCTATGATCACAAAATAAGTTTACTTCCTGCCTCTGTCAGAAAGGAAGCTGGTACAAAGTTCTTGCCCAAAGTGCTGGTACCACAAAGTAGGTGTGGTGACTTGCTATTCTGCATTCATGACACAAGATGACAAGGTAAGTACCCAATGTGGTGGTTTGTGAGTTTTCTACAACCACTGAAACCTAGGCCTGCTTCTTCCCTGTTTTTTCATGCAGTTATTCAAAGACAACATGGTCTGAAAGCACTTCTAAGAGTCTGGAAAGTATTATCAAACAGAATATGTTAACAGGAACTAATGGTAACATCTGGTGCTGTAAGTTGTTATTCCCTAAAACGTAGCAAGAGTCAGGCCAATCTCAACCAAAACATACAAACTATTTCCAGTAAAACACTTCAAGGAAACTATGAGAAAGCAATTTATTGTATTTTCATTATAAGGCTTTAAGGTCATCTTCACTATTTTACAAACCATTTAAAAAAAGATCCTTTTACAAGCAAGGATTCTAGAATTCAAAATATATTCTCAATTTAAAATATACTGTGCAAGAATCTTCATTGAAACAAATTGCCAGTAGTTGATACAGCCATATTTATCTTAATAGGCAATAGGAATTCTGGTCATGATTTAAATGAAGCTGTTTCTTTGCAGCAAGAAAATCTTTACTTAGTGCTGGTGACTTCTAAAGCAAATGCACCTAGATGTTGTTTTATGATTCCTGCCTTTACAGAGTTTTTTTTTTTTTAAGAAAAAGCTTGTGTATTCCTTTTCTATCAATTTTAGGACAAAACATTTATCAGAAATTACTGGTTAAATGAAGAAAACAGATATGCCTCATGATTATTCCAGAATTCTTTTGTTATCCTTAGTCACAGAACATTGTCCTAAACTGCTAAACAGAGGCATGTAGGGAACATAAAACGCAGGCTT